CTAAAACATTGACCTTGGGGAACAGGCAACACATGAGACCAAATGACAAGTTCAGGTGGTAACAAACAAACAGCACCAAAAAAGCACACCAGGAACATTAGGGGTGTTTTAGCAGTAAACAAAATAACCTTTTAAAAGAGTGAAGTTGATGCTGTGAGTGGCTTTGCTGGAGTGAAGTCTAAAAGTGAAATAAGGAAATTCTAAGAGCTTGGACATTAAGTCCATGCCTGGATTAGGCAGACTATCTTCAGATCCTTTGTGCAGGCTGAATTAGACCTTTTTACGTAAAATATCAGGCATTTTATGTAACTAAAAGTTACTTCACCATTAACTTACATTATAAAATTACAAAAATTTCTAAAGCCTGTGTTTGCAGTATCACTACGTGGCTGATGGAAATTTATTGTTGGCCTATTTTTGTCACCGAGATCATACTCCATGGCTGGTGTTTTTAGCTATCAGCTGCGGCTGGAGTTTGGACACTAGTTATTTAACAAGGCTATAGGTAGTTATATAGATGTTCCATGCTACGACTCTGCTAAAACATGTATATTCATTAAGCAAACTATAATAAAAAAAGAAAGTTGGCTAAGGAAAAAAGAAATGTCTTATCTCCTGAAGGTTTTGAAACTTTCACCAGTGGAAAAGGCAGTAGTCACAAGAATGAGGAAAAATCTGACCATGTTCTGACTCTGTGACACTGTGATGAAAGTCTAGATTTAATCCGAAATCTTGGGAAATAAGGGGTTAAGAACTTTAAAGTCTCCAGAACTTTTTGTCTGATGTTTCTGAAAAGCTGGTCACTCCAGATGAGTCCATAAATTACTTTCTAGAAGTTTACTTTAAAACTCTATTAATTTTTCATTTATTTTTATTCAGAATGACTCATAAAGTAAGGTTTGGTTAACCTCAGAGGTTAAAACAAAAATCCAAAAACAAATTTTTGTCCTTAAGAATGTTCTGGATTCAATCTTGGTGCAGGAGTTTCTTTAGGAAGTATTGTTGAAGTTAGGTGGTATGAAATGCATTTGTAAAAGGCTCAGGGTTCTGGTTTTCTCCCCAAATAATTTATCTTCATCATTGACCCAAGCTGAAGCAGAGTTCCAAAGTCCAGAGCTAAGACTAGCAGAGTCCAGAGCTAAGATTAATTTCTCCAGTCAGCATAGACTGTTAGTGGTGGCCTGAAAGCACTGCTTTGGTCATGAGAATGGAGAACAGTTATGACACTGATTAAATCATTTTACTCCAATGACATCTAATCATAATTTAACAAATCTAGTTAAATGTGTATGCACTGAACTTGGTAAAATTGAGTATGATGGGGAAATCTCTGTTAGGAAAAAATAGAAGACAATTGCTTCCTTAATCTGGGGCTTAAGAGTCTGTAATTTCTTTTTTTTTTTAATTAAGTCATAGCTGTGTACATTCATGGGGTACAGGGTGGTGTTTTCATATACAATTTGAAATATTTTCATCAAACTGATTAACATAACCTTCATGTCATTTTCTTAGTTATTGTATTAAGACATTTATAT